GTGGCCGCGAACGCAAGGGATCCATTTCCTGTAATAAGTGGCTCTGCCACTCCAATGGGGGGTATAACTGGATTAAGCAATTTCCTCGCGCGCTTGGAGAGGGCTTCCGTGGAGGACAATCTACCAGCGTTCGTAGAAGTTCCTCAATGTGCATATCTATTGCGGGGTCACGTTCAGCCGAGGCAGATTATGACATGGGTTCAGCTCGAGTGTAGCGGCCGAGATATACCTTATCCTCGTTGGACGTATGAGGAGGATGTTCGGAGAGATCTTGCCGTCTCGATGGATTGGAAGGAGTCTGCTGTACCTTTAGAGTGTTCCCCGCACAATGTCTCGCGGATTCGTTTCGGGGATCCAGTTCTGGCTTCTCCTCGGAGCGATGAGATCGAGGTCGCGTAATGTGCCGTAATTCCTCGAAGTGCAGTTCCTTAAGTTCCGGTGGAATCCCGCGTGTCCAGTAGGTAGCAATCGATGGGCCTTTTTCATTTTCGGCGTTCAGTCCGCTTCTTCGAATCATCGACGGATCCGTGAGATCGATAGCTTCCGAAGCCCCGGATCCCTCGCGTTTCTTTAGGATCCATCACGGGATGGTCGCGAGCATTGAGAGAAATGATTCGACTGGCTTTCGCGATCCTCAGTACGGGGATTCCGTGAATTCGCAACAGAAAATGGCGAGACCTGTTTCCGCTTCAGTTCCGGCACAATGAGGGCTTGTATGTCTCATCTCACTATCGCGAACCTGGATCCCGAGACAGATTTTTCGTGCACGACTGACTGGGGTCGCACGGGACTCCGTTATTTACACTAATCCGTGCTCGGCACGGGTCCATTTAGGGTGCCGGCGACGAATTTACCGAAGTTTGCGGGCTGTCACACAAGTGTACCGTTCATTCTCGATCTCTTGCTCGGAGTGGGTCGGACGCAGTCAGCGTTTCCGTGGTTCGCCTGAGCTATTTCGAGACCTCGTTTAGCTGATTTCTTATGCAGGGTGTGCCACACGCAAGTGCACGGTTTTGAAGTGGGTGAATAAAATGAGCAGATGCCTGACCCGAAGAAAAATCTCGCGTTGCTAAGGGAGATGAAGTCAGTCTGGCGAGGTCCCGACGCAATAGTTTCACCGAATGATATCATCACGAGTAACTCGACGGGACAGACGGGAGCGGCGTGTTGCAATGAATGGCGGTGGGAACGAATTTCCTCAGCTTCACCTCTTGAGGAGGAAAAAGCGTTTTTGCTGTACTGCAGGATTCATCGTCGCGGATGGAGCCGTGATGGGCTAACAATGATTCTTCTCTCGGAAATATCTATAAGTCTGTAAGGACGGAGTCAGATTCCGCCCCGGCTCTTTTGATTCATCTTCCCCTGCCCCTCCTTTAGAGTATACGAAGCGCCAAGTAAGTGCCTTTGAATGAGGTATGATGCTCTCTTCCCAAGCGCGACCACAAGAACGGGAGGGAATAGGGGTCAGGAGGCTGTGGCCCCCTTCGGAAGGAGGCAAAATTGAGCAGTCATGTGTGGATTCTCTCGAGAGCCTACAAATCCTTGTCATCCGAGGATTTTTCGCCACCTTCAAGCTCTAGGGTTCTGATTTCTGATGTCTCGCCGGCAAGGGGCTGCTCCACTCATCGAGCGAGCCCCCATCCGAGCGGTCCGATAGTGATCACTGAGTCGATCTCCGGGAGCGATTTCCACGGGGATACCATGATGAACGATGTATCGTCTTTCATGTTTAAGTGTCCTCCCCTTCGGTTCGGAACCTCCGGCCCCCAGGCTATGTCTGAGCCTCTGAGTTCACGCGGATGATCCGATACTCCCCAACAGAGGAAGGAGTTGAAAATCGACCGTTGTCCCTGCCAGTGGTGACCATCATTGTTGTCAAGGAGACTCGCATCAGAATCGGGGACGGGCTTCCTCCACCTTACGAAATCTGCTCGTCTGTCCTTGCGCACGTTGATGCATCCGACCTTATCGGGAGCTGGAGCTCCGTCCTTTCTGCCGCTCCCGCGCTCAGAATTATTTCTCGCTCAAGAAAATAGCCTCGAACTCTGGTTCCGACAGAGAATCTCTGCTTCAAAAACCAAAAACCTCCTGCTGACCCGATGTCGGATCGTTAGGGAACCGCTGTGTTCACTTTGGTCTCTCCGGCTCTCGACCGGCTTGCAGAGGTCTGATACAGCTCCTCCATTTAGTCAAACATTCAGCGTCTAGAAATCCTAAAGCGCAGTCCGCGGGGAATGTTTAAACTTTTCAGCTCAGCTCTCGACACAGCGGAGGGCAGGAAGGGTTCCAATGGGACCCTAAGGCTTTGCAAAAGCCAATAGTAATGTTCGGAGAGGAGCTCTCCAGAAGGACTCGGACCTGTCGCAACGATATCCAGATCCTGGCTCGCCAGCGGAGCAGCTTCCGTGGAACTCCTCGGAAGTGTCCGTGCTCCGCTCTGACTCCACGACTTGTTTTCGAGCGTCCCGGTCTCCGAAAGTACTCAAGCCGACGGAGGCACAGGAGTCTCCAACTTCCTAGCTCGCACCAAAGATCCGTAAGCCCAGTCATTGCAGAAACACGACATCAGAATGCTGCTCGCAGGCTAGATTATCACAAAGGCCGAAGCATTCAGCGAACTTATAGAGCCTGTAGAGCTCGCCGAAGCCACGAAATTCAGCCGATGATTAAATCCGAGGCAACGTGAAGCGGAATACCGGGATCAGTATAATGCCTCACAGGGGCCGCACATCAATTTTTGATCAAGTTCCCATCTACGTAAATTATATACAACAGGAAGAACGTCGGTTTTTGTCTGAGCGGCCTACACAAGAACGTAACGCGGCACCGAAGGCAGACTAATTGATCACTTGTATCCTCTTGTCTAAACATGTCGCTCCGGATCACTCAACTTCGGTGCGTATTCAACTAGCTTCCTTGTGAAACGTCGGCATCACAACGAGAGTACTTGTCCCCCGGTCCTGGACAGGCAGACATTCCAGGCGGAGGGGAGAAAGAGGGCTCAGTATCCGAGTCGATCCCATTTTTCAGGAACAGCTGGTGGGACTCGTTGGACCAGGGAGAGCATTGCTCAACTATGAATGTGTGATTTTTCTATCTCTCCCTGTTTCACGCGAACAGGAAGAGGGCTAATGAAATGTATTCATGGAAAAACTGCTGGAAGAAATTCAAGACATGAATAAATGTACGAATCTCGAGTGACACACATCAGAGAGAAATCTGCGTAACGCAGCCCGCTTCTCGCGCTGAACGCAAGGACGGAAATCCCTCGAAAGCTCACACGATCGTCGAGAGTACGCCGACACGAGGAAGACACGAGCGGTCGGCTCTTTGTGCGAGCCCATAAACTCAGACAAGCGAACACACGGGCACGCACGAGCGCACGCATACGCAAATGCAGCTAGTCAGACTCAAATCTTCGTAGACCTGATTGTCTGATCGGGCAGGACTGCTCAGGCGGTCGCGAATAGAAGCAACTTGCAATGCTAATATTCCATTAATGTTCCGACTTGGTTTCTCGTTCGATAGGTTTGTTAATCTATTCGGCTGCTCATTCGCTCTGCATTCGGCTCGCAAAGACACCTGGCTAGTTTCTTTCTGTTCCGCTTTTCTCCGGCTCCGTCTCCCGAAGCAGCGCCGCGAGGTTTTCGCGAGCTGAATCGCGATGCTTTTGTCTGAAGCTGAAGATTTTGTTTTGAAATTCTTCCTCCCTCCTCGAATTCCTTGGTGGAAGGTCGCAAAGCGACGAGACGCGCCACAGCTGCTTACGATGCCGATGTCGGGGATTCTTCCCCCCGGGATTTGGGCGGCGTCGGCTTTCGACACATGGAGAGTCTCAAGGACATTTTCCGACACGCCAGTCACGTTTTCTATGCTTCCGCCGATTCTACTCGTATGATTCCTAAAGAGGGACAGCCACCTGCTTGCGACTCCATTCGTCTCCGCTTTCGGAAGAGGGATAAGAACGTGCCCGAGTCGAAAACAATGGTACAGAGTTTGAATAAACATCGCAGCGGTACTCAGGAATTCTTCTCTTCCCCCAAAGCATTTTGGAATCGGGCCTCGGGATGCAATATTCCGTTTCGCTGAGTCCTTCAACGAGAGCCGCGCTCTCATTGGCCCTCAGCACGGGCAGGGGAAGCTCTCGGACAGAATAGAGAGATTCGAATTTCCAGCAGACGGAAATATGCCTGATGAGACTGCGGGAAAGTTCCTCGCTAACTAAATCCCGCGGATGGTATTTCGCTGCTCGAGTCGGATTCTTGAGGCTTCAAACAACTCACCCGGAGCGGCTGTGAAGGAAAGGAAGAGAACAGTATTTCTGTCGAAACACTGAGATCCGAAGCCCGTCGTCAGGCCTGTTGTTTATTCGTCGATTCTAGGGAAAGTCCAACACTGCTCCGGAGCCGAGGCTCGCCTGCACCAATCACTCTCTACAGAACTCAGCTCGTCAGCACCACCCAAATGCCGGAGGTCCGAACTGCGTCTAAGGTCCTGAACATGTGGAGTCAGAGCTGCGATACGATCCGACCCTCCCTCAAGACCCTCACCGTACGGCTCTCACTCCTTGCGCGGGGGAGGACAGTCTACATATTCGGGTTGAGGGTGAGCTTTGGCTTTCGTTATTTTAATAAGCCACTGTTACTGAACCGTGACCTGAATATTTTTCCCATGAGACGGCTATCAGAGAAGTCCGATTCAGATGGCTCTATGAAGAGCGACCGAACTCGGAGCTCGAGAACACTTAGCCGGCCTTCGAGTCAGGGGTCGCTAAATACTTCGCGACAGTCTATCCGAGCCTGATCCTCGTGAAATCATACACTGCAGAGCATGTTTTGTGGGGAGTGGCTTTGCGCAGCAGCCATCTAGAACAACTTCCGTACGTTTCCGTGGTCCCCTGTGACGATGTTGACAGTTTTCGGACAACGGATCGCATTTTCCCTGGGAGAAACTTGTTCCCTCGTCACACGGAACCAGGACATCCGATTTCTGGAATAAAATCATAGCTTGCTCCGGACGTCGTCGTAGTATTCCTCAGGAAGGAAAAAGTCCAGTTGAGGCTCAGCGCCGGGTACGGCTGCATACCGATCGAAATTCCGGATTCCTGTTCAGACAAAAGCGCAATACTTATCCGACGTGCTGGGGAATCTCGCGGGAAGAAACAATACCACTGCGAAAGATAAACTCCACGGTGGAGTTCCGTCCGGCTCACCTTCCTCACGGAGTACATCTTCATCAATGCAGAAATTTCCGGAGAAGGAGTTTGGTCTACAAAGGATTGCGTAAACCGCGTCGGCCATGATCGCCGGAGATCGGGATTGTTCCTTCGAGCTCTGCTCATCTCCCGCGAGCATTTCTGTCGCAGCCGTAGCAATCATGGTTTTCGGCCAAATCGTGTTGACGGCGATATTATCCGACCGGAGTTCTTCAGCCATTCCGAGAGCACACATCGACATTCCGAATTTAGACATTGTATACGCCACGTGCGGTGCGAACCATCTCGAGCTCATGACCAACGGAGGTGAATTGTTCAGTATCTTCCCTCCGAACTTCGACGCACGAAGATGAGGAATGCAGTGCTTCGACGTGAGAAACGTGCCCCTCACGTTGACCTGATGCATTAAATCGAACCTGAAAAAAGCGATAAGGGTTGTTCGGATGTACATACGGAGGGGAATAATGGAGAAGCTTACGTTTTCGCATAAGTCCCGGCCTCGAGCTTCTTCGATATATTCATCTAATGAATTACATTGGATGACAGGTGATACATAGAATGGGACGATAGGCGGGGAAGAATCTCACGAAAACCCCCCTCAGGATTCGGGCAAGTTATCTCAATCACGACCAAAACATTATAAAAATATAAACATGATGAACGAACACATCATAAAGCCCATCTCCCCGTAGGTCGCGGGTCTCGTAGACAGAAGAGACCTTCTGCCTGCCGCATCTCCGACAGCATGCCACTCGACTTATGTACATCGTCATTAGCGTGATGAGATGCTGCCGACAGGTTATCGTGTAAGCTCACTTTTTCATATCGGTCGCTTCCGTCGCGGTGAGGCTAATAGCTGAAGCGTTGTTCACGAGGATGTCGATGCCTCCGAAATGTTTTACGGCGGCTTCGATGGCGTTCATGACGCACTGCTCGTCTCGAACGTCCATGACGAGGGGCAGGCATCGACCCCCGGCGGCTTCCACTTCCTTCGCGGCCGTGTGGATTGTTCCCTTCAGTTTCGGGTGCGGACAGCCAGTCTTGGCGGCCACAACGATGTTCGCGCCATCCTTGAAAGCGAATAATAAATACGAGCTCGTTCATGTTACGGAGTGATAAATCGAAGCTGAGCGCTCAAAGAGAGGGGAACTTGAGCATTTGATCGTGATTCGATGAATCCTAAGGAGTCGAGGCCGGATCTGTATGAGTCATAATGATTTCAAAGGTTTAGTTTTGTGTGTAGAGGGGCGATTGCGGGTCTCGTCTATCTATTCAGGTTTAGAGAACCCTTTGTGATCACCCGTATACAGGGTTGCTGATTCAACTATCGGAATCGAGTGCGAACGTAATGCATACAGCATGAAACCACTCGCATCGCTGTCCGTCGCCGGACGGACTCGGTGAATATCCAACTCGGATATTGAGTGATCGTATTTTCCCTCGAGCGGGGAGGAATCGCGCCGATCTTTCCGAATCGAGCCGCGTCATAACGAAGACTCCCTGCTCTCTCCTTGAGGTGAATTCTGGAAATCGGCTACGGTATCAGTGGTCGGAGCTGTTCGTCTCAATCTTCTTGGAATCATCCACTTGCTCCTACAGTTTCGTAAAACTGAGATCCCCCTTCTGGATGAGACGGATGAACATGGTAATTCGTCCCCTAGTACCCTCAGAATCAGACGAAACTCTACCAGAGTTCATGCAGGCCTGCGGAGCTCGATTTGTTCGATCGTTCAGTCGCCCCGTGGCGTTCAACAAGATCGGTATCCTAAGCGGCCGGAGCAAGGTCGATGTCGTCATCGATATCGAATTTTGTTCGAAGTTTGTGTGAGTTCGTCCTCATCATTCTCACGTAGGGTATGAAAATCGCCGCATCGAAGAATCTTCCCAACGCCGGGTGTAAACCTCGAAATATTCAAATTCCAAAGAATGCTCCGTGGAGAGAGCAAGCGCCGACACAAGCTCGAAAGCGCTGCATATTGAAGTTTGGCGGTGCTGATGAAGTCGACTCCGGCTCAATGAGAATATCCGAAGTTTTTCCCAATCTCGCGAGGGTAGTCGGTCGGGAAGCTTGTTAGGGCCGATTTCCGCGAACGAATCTCAATGAGCTCCGAGGGGAGGCTCCCGTGAAGCGAGAACAGCGAGTGTCAGAGAACCTTTCGCAACAACACGAGCGGCTGCACTCTCTCTGCGGCGATATGCACTTGTGGAGCAACACGCGACGCTTGTCTCGTATTGCTGAAAAATTGGAGTAGAACCAACCTTGGCACATTTGACGGCGATCTCTTTCCCGATACCGCGGCTGGCTCCCGTTATGAAGATTGTCCGGCCCCTGAGTTTGCCCGAGTTCTCCATTTCGATACGCCGCTGAAAATCGGCGCTTAGGACAGCTCTCCTGCAGGAACCTGGGGAAATGAAAGCGAAACTCAAGTCTCTTTTTACGGCAGTGCACCGCGTCCCGGGGACGTCGCGGCTCTTTACGAGCCACCCCCGGTGGACAAGAGCCAGCGCAGTTGATTCATCGCTTCTTCCGAGGGTGACTCTCGACCCTCCACGGAATACCTATATCTCGCTTTTTGTCGCTTTCTCTCTACGCTCCCCGAATCAATGAACTCTCAGGCCATTCCGTCCCGGACGGAAAAATTCCCCATCCGCATGACGTGTTGGCTGATTGTCTTATAAGCTAACGATTCCTCAGCCGCCGAAGATCCGGCAGCAGCAGCTGCTGAGATCTCCGCATTGCAATGTCGGAAGCAAGGGCTGTTGTGCGGAAAATCCACTGAGGAAGGGGGTGACTGAGAGCGAACGGTGGAGCGACACACCGAGCGTGTCTATGAGGCACGAACGTCACGCTCAGCTACGGCCTAGACGGACAAACCTTTGTGGGTTGCACAGAATCCGGCAAGTTGCGTCTTCACAGGCTGACTTTTGTTTGGATCGGCAGCCGGCTGTTGTGGTAGGAGTCGAGCCGCTCTTGCCACAGAATTACGCTAAAGACGAGCGGCGGCCCCTTCCCGACGCGTCAACGTTAAGCGACGGAAGACTCCATGCTGCTCCACACGATTCGAACGCGATGGCCAGAACAGCTGACAATCGTCCACGCGATTCGTCAGCGATACTACCTCGCTTAGGAAGTGCTCTGGGAAGATAATTTTTCCGTCGGCGTCGCCGCCAGTATCTTCTCGCCTGTGGAACTTTTTTCCCTTGATGGCTGTTTATCCAGTCGTATACTTGGGTCCATCAGTTGATGGCTGAGAGTATGTAAAAGTCGTCATTGGAGAATATCAGTGATCTGACTCAGCGCCGACCGGGGTAAACATGTAGAGCGTTTCCTGGAAGGAAGAACTGAGTCGCATCAAATCCGATCCGAGAGAGTAGCGATCGGAGATCTGATCGTTCCCGCGGAATGTGGATCACGATAATGCGTGCTGCCTCGGAGTTTTCCTTCAAACTAAAGCGATTATCCAGGGAGAAATCGGAATTTTCAGAGCCAAGCTGCTTCTGGGTATGGAGAAACGAGCCAAAAACGATCTGATCTCCCGTGAAGGAGCTCCCCAAACCGAAATTCAAGTCGCGGTCCGTCTCCACGTTCTCGCCGCTCCTCTTGAGATGTTCAAGGAAGAATCATATACCATCACTCCGAGCATAGCCAATCGATTTTTTGCCGCCTTCTGTATCCACGCTGCCCGTGGATGAAGGGCGGATATTTTCTGTTACCGGAAGGATTTCTCACACAATATTGCCACTCCGAAGAGCCATCTCGGGGAAATAGCGTGGCATGCAGGTCCGAAGAGTCGGGGGTCGGAGGTGAGCAGGGGAAAAGAGTCTTCCTTCATCTGTTGAGTTTTATTTCACCCGCGCATAGGGTCCGAGTCATAGGTGAAAGAATCCGGACGGTCTCATATTCCCGATAGCGGAGATAACAACGGATCCGAGCTCACTGCATAGGTGTGAGTTGAGTGGAGTACAACACTTCTTCGAAAACCTGGGCCTATCAGCGTGACTTGCACGAGTGCGGACGCTTCCGCGGAGCTAGAGTGCTATCTCCTCCGATATAGACGATCCCTCGTAAGATCTCACCTGAATGGAGGAATTCCGGAGAGACACTCTGATCTGGCGAATTCTCGTAGACTTATCGATGGGAACTTCGCGCGATGGATGCTCGTTTCCGCCGAGAGGCGAGACTCCCTCTCGACCCTACGAGATCGACTAAGTGAACAGGACGGCTAGATCCGAGCGAAGCTTGACCGTCATCTTAAAGCTATGAAAACACGATCCGTCCAACCAACCAACCAACCAACCAACCAACCAACCAACCAACCAACCAACAAATAGTTGACATTTCCGGGCATCTAGGGCGAGAGGAACGAGATCTCGGGCGGGGAGTTCCGTGCCCGAGCTCTGCAAGTTGGGATTGCATCGCTATTTGTTTCGGTTGTCTATCTCTCGCTGTCTGTTTCTGAGCCAACTCCCTGTAGTGAAAAATGGTGCAGCTCATTCCGGCCTCTGAATCACTGACGAATTATTATCAGCCGATTCGGCTCAAGGAAATTCCCAGACGATGCAGAATACGGACTCCGGATGTAGACACGAATACTGGCTCCGGCAGCCCTGTGGACAACTCTCACTCGGCTCCTTTCAATACGGAACGCGTGAGCAGCTAGCGTTGAATCTATAGTTCGATAGCCGCCGTCTTTGATCTTCACCGCGACGGACTCCGGTCGAGCTCAGATCGTCACGGGCAGCCGATACTTTGCTTATTATTCAAGCACCGGAGATTTTATTCGATATCGATCCGACCGGAGCTCCGCGCGAGCTTAAAACTGAGAGTCGATATCTCGGGGCCTGTCCTGAATCGGATCCTGAATGTTCTATTGCCGACCGTCTCTCGGGGACGGGATCATTTCGGCGAATGATCGAAGTTCTGCGGTGGTGCCAGCCTTTCAGGGAATTTTCACCCTGAAGTGTCATGATTTTCAAACGGAGACCTTCCAGGCCTTTTTTTCATTCTCAAGAAAAAATCGGCTCCTCCCTCGAATGTTCTTACTAAAAATATACTTTCGGGTGTCCTCGAAGAGCCCGTCGCTCTTTCTCACGAAGAATATTCTCCCCACAGCCGTTCTTTGTCAGGGTCTCCTCCAGGAATCGTTCTCGGCCCCAACACAGCGCCCGCGATCACGGAGCAACAGGTCTGGAGTAGAAAGGCTCACCTGTACGACATTACAGGTCCTTGTCGACAAGCGTGAGGCTGTCGAGCGAAGTGCACCGGAAATCCGCCTCTTCTTCCCCTCTCGTATGACGTGCCGGGTTTTGAGAGCACGTACATAGGCAGACCATGAGTGTTACCGCCGTTACGATGGCATCTTAACCCCCGAGGCGCGTGCCGTCGATGCGCCTGTTGTCGCCTCCATTGGCGCTCTCGTGTCAGCTGCACACCCCATCCAATATGACCTTTGTGCATGAACCTAGCGCTCCATTTCAGCCGCGGGTCACTAGACCGGCAAAGCCCCGGGGGACACATGTACATGGGTACCTCCGACGCTCCGAATTCGACGTCGCTTCTCGTCGCAGCTGTATTCCGGTCTCAGTTTCGTAGATTCGATGATCCGATAATCTCAATGGTCAACCCAAGGATTTCGCCGCAGTCGAAGGAGCTTTTCCAAGGCTTTACAGCGCCTCGAATCCGGAAATTGAACGCTGCTCTGGATAGCACAGAACATCGAGCATTGCTCGCCAGCGAGCTTCCTGGTGTCGCTCGAGCCGTGCACGTTGGCACTGTCGTGAGTTACTCGCAGCAAACGAACTTCGCACCGAGACCTGTAGATGGCGATTCAGCGCTCCTCGTGAACTGTTCGTTATAGCTGACTCGGAGGTCATCCGCTTCCGACGTTAATTTCTCTTGACAGAGACAACGTAATTATTCAGGTAGAAACGCAATTTTATGCTGATAGACCCCTTTGGCGAAAGTTCGGTGACGGCCGAACGCGGCCATCATTCGACAATGACGTTAATGACCGCATTCGCGACCATGACGTGCTCGCTCGAGCGCTTGTAGACAATAGTGATGTGAGAGTGCTGCCATTCAAACTAGCTCCGTTGGTCTGATGGTTCCGCAGAGCGTTTTCTCCTAGAGCTTCTATTCTGGAGTTTGGATCGCGGGGTTCTGTCTGAGATATTAAACATTCTCGAGTCGGAAAATGAGTTTTCTTGCCTCCACGATAATTAGAATCTCGGATTGGATTCAACTCATCTCGCGACCGGAAATTCAGCCCAAGGCCCCGGGAATGAACGGGGAAACCGACATGAACGCTCACGATCCACCGGCTTCCACTAAGCTTTGGGGGAGAATCCTGCCGACCCTGATCCTTTTCGCCGTTTCGTCGATCGGATACTTCTCCTCCCACCGGCGCTCGGAGCTCGGAGCGGAAACCAGAGGGCTGCTGAAGATAATACCCATATTATTTCTCGCTTCGTTTTGTATCTTCGAGGGCCGCAGCCGATCCAAATACAGAGTAAGGAGGGTATAAAGACCGTGGTATCTGGATGTGACTCATAAGGACCCCTAGCTTTTCGGACGGATCGTAACAGTCGCATCGCTCTCAATTTGGAATTATACTGTTGTATCTGGTTCTCGATTTTCTTTCAGTATTACGTGACGGCGGGTCTGCTGGCATCTTGCGCCGGAGATTATTTCTTGGTCTGGAGCGACGAAGACAATTTCATGCGGGGAATGGGAGCCTTCGCCCTCGCCCACCAATTGTACATCCTGGCTTTCGGCTTCAAGTCCCTCTCTCCGGTTCTGATGATTTCTGCGGCAATCTCGGGATCGAGCGTAGCGATGATCTTGTTACCTCATCTGAAAGGTTCGCCCGTATATCGAATGCTCGGACGAGTCTCTGTTATTCACTTTTTTGCTTTTCCCCCCAACTAACCTGGGTTGGCATTCGACGACTCTTCACAGGTGTTCTCGCCTACGGTGTGCCGTGCTATATCGTTCTCATTTCGTGCATGGTCTGGCGAGCTTCCGCGCGTGTGCACCCCCCGTGCGAATGGCCGAGCGTGGTCGGCGCTCTTGGCGCATTAGTATTCGCAGTCTCGGACCTCAACCTCGCACTGAACGCGTTTTACTTCGAAATGCCGTACGAGGGGCATCACACGGTGACGATGGTATTTTACTACATCGGCCAGCTGTGCATAGCCCTTTCTGTGTCGGATCACGAGAGGCTGGTCTGAGCCCTCTGCGGGAAACAGACAGGAATTCATGTCATTCATGTATGGGAGGTAACAAGAAGAATCAAGCAAGCCTCGAGCCCATAAAGACTAAGACCCTGAAGAATCCTTTGTCATGATATTTCTTACGAGCCCTCGATATTGGCTCGATTCATCCTCCTCTTTTGCTTGCGTCCCATCCTCAAAGTTCCGAACAGGTCACAGTCACAGAGTCTCTTTAATGTAGCGAGACTCTCAGAATCATTTGCATTGTATTATCCTGGCGGATTGGGAGTTTCTTTGGAGAATGCGCAGCCCTCGAAGCAATCATGTGGGTAAATTCCTGCGAGAATGAGGATAAAATCGATGACCCGACGAATGGGGATTCAGGAAAGACGTGGGAATTCTTCCACGTGGGAGTTTCTCGAGGCGGCCCCAGTATATTTCTGGGTCTGACATGAGTTTTCTTCATTCCTCAGCAGGCTCATTCCCGGGCTCGTGATTTGACCAAAGTCTCCAGTATCAGACGGTCCCTCCATATGGAACAAGCGACTGCGCTTCAGGGGAAAAGAAATAGCGTTTTGCTCCAAGAAGAGGTCTTGTCTGCATCCCCGTAATGCACGTTTTCGGACGACATCAGAATGAGATCTCGGAAGCGACACGTGCGCCCTCTCGCCAGTGCGGACTTATTTGTGGACCCTCGCGTCAAGCAACCAGGGGCCAGAATTCCCATCACGTCGTGCTCCGATATGGGACGCGAGTGATCTTGTCCAGTAAACGGTTCGTCGTAACTGAACGCTCCGTCCTTGCAGGTTGTGCGGAATCGATATACACGGGGCCCAAGCGTTTAGAAAGGTAGAGCTTTCGAAACACGCAATATTCGCTCATTTTCACCCAAGGAACTCGCTTGACTCCACCGAGTTTCTCGAAAACAAACAAAAGTCCTTGACGGCTGAGGTAGTCGGCTCGCGCAGATCCATCCTCCGAGGACGAGCTCAGCCGCTTGTTCAACTTCGCATCATCATTATCATTATTAGGCATTATGTTTAGATCATCTTAGGATTACGTGTTTATCTCGGTCACGGTGTCAGGGTCTCGGGATCCCCGTACCCGGGGCAGAGGCCCTCGGTCGCGAACCAGTGTGGGTCGATCCGCGGAGTTCCACGGAGCTACCTGGAGTCTGAATGCCCGGGGAGGGCGGGTTTTCTCGCCACGGAGCTAACTGAGGTCCAAACGCCCAGGGAGGGCGGTTTTTTCCCCATCGCGGAGTCTGAGTCCCGTGACAGAGGCCAACCCCAATCATATAGGCTCCAGGCGCGACAATCACGAAGTTATTATCTACACCCAGTGTAGAGATTTCCTTTCCCCACGTCGCAGAGGAGCGGAAGGCGCTATCATGGAGGAGCTTTTCGAGCCTTGGATATATGTGTTTGCTTAAGGAATCCTTTCGACAGGGATGCCGCACTTGTCCCTGCTGTTGATCTACATTTTTTCCATAACCTACTCCACCGTCGATCCCTCGATTCCCATCGTATGCCGCGCACTCCCTGCGGTTTGGCTCCTGTACCTGATCTACCGGCACGATCGGCCCGGAAAGTACACGGTGAGCTGGTGGAGATTTCATCTGATGTACTATCTGGCTGGCGCAAGATCCATATTCTAACATAAGGATCTCATCCTCTACAGAAATTCATGGCAGCAGCAGTGATCAAGGCCACAATGGGCGATTTCGCCCTGATGAACCAGGACGAAACCAGTTTCCTCATCGCAATGTCTTCCCACGCTGCCATGCACATCGTTTACATATGGTCACTCTCTCACGGATCATTCAGCTCTAACTGACTCATAACGAGTCTCGCCATCGCCACGCTGTGGACTGTGTTCCTGATCCCTTTTCTGACAGGTGAGTTGCTTCAGGCAGTCCTCCTCGGAAAAAATCGGGCTCCGCGCGAGAATCCCTCCGGAAGACGTGGTGAACGACCAGCGGGAATCTCGACTCTTCTGGTTTCGTTTCAGGCTACTTACTCCTCGCGACCCCGCCTTACATCACCCTCGTCTGCGCTGCCCTCTGGCGCAGCCAAGCGCAAGTGAATCTCGATATGAACTGGACATGGGTCAGCGCGGCGATGGGAAGCCTCTTCTTCGTCGCGACTGATCTCCACTTCTCTCTGAATATCTTCTCCATTGTGAAACCGTACGATTATATGCAAATCATAACAATGTCATTATCCTGCGTCGGGCAGCAACTTATGGTGCTCTCATGCTACGATAAGAACCACTGCTTTCCTCCGAGATATTTGCAAACACTACGGAAAAAGTACGGTGTGAAGACGAAATAACTCTCGATTGATTCTCCTTATCATTGATATTATTATCGTTGTCGTTATTGACTTCTTTGTTTTTTTGCACCGCGCTCGGCTTTCAACTAAATAATTCAATCAAGCCTGGCATAGCCTCACATCGTCGACAACGAACGTGTACGAATGATTCGGATCACCCATCTGGACTCCAAGTGATGTGAACATTAGATGAACGTACACGAGCGGAAAATTACTGTTGCGAGAGAGCTATTCGGAATCCGAACGGGAAAGCGATCCGAACGTTTCTGAGCGGGGACTACAAATAAAAATCAAATCCTCCCGGAGGTCGTATTGTGTTTTACATGATGACCATGATTATGACGCGGAAATCGGATTGGGAATGATCTCTCTGCTTCTCGAAGGTCCAAAGCAGGGGTCGTCGGGAATCCGATTCCTCATCTCCTCATAGTGGTAGAAAGCTCGAAATTCGTCCCTGACCGTAACCTTCGGTCAGGAAAACCTCCACACTGTGATCACCACAACGAGTCACATCGTCCTGTGCAGGAGTGGCGCATCATCCGCATCGACCCGTTCGGTTCCCGAGCCGATAATTGAGCTCCAGGCTCGGCTCGGGCTTTCCTCGCCTAGAATAGACGGGCAGACGAGCCTCTCTTGTCCGGGGACTCCAACCGTTTGTTCTCAGGATCCTCATGGTCTCGAGAAGAATTTTTCCCCCTGCAATTCTAGCGGTACGACCTCGCCTGCCGTCATCGGGGTCAATGGCGAAATGTTCGGATAAGCGAGATAATCGGCTCCCAGGAGAGCTTAAGTTCTCAAAGTTCTGGTGGACAAGTCCGCGACCATGGGTCATTCCGAGTCGTTCCAAGTCTATCGGCTAGAAGCGTCGACTTCTCCCAAGCCCTGCCATGTCGACTTTCGATCCCGATGATCACTCCTTACCAACTACACCGACAATTATTACCCATCGATTTCTAAGTCTCGACTAGATAGAAAAAAATCGGAAGTCGTCAACCATTTCCAACGTTCCCGACAATTTCCACTGAATGCACTCCCACCGTACCATATGGATATGGAAAGGGCGCACGGACTTGACGCGGGCCTGGAATTCCGTATTCGCTTTCCGGATGTACTCGTCGTCTTGTTCCGAGCATGATTGGTGTCGCTGAGTCTGTCTGGAGGGATATCCGCTCCCATTCAAAGTTGTCTCTCCAACGTCTCTCTAGTTTACTCAGCCGCTAATGTCCGTTCCCACAACAACGATGGCGGCCTCGCAGCCACGCAAGCGAACATTATAATTCGGAAGCTTGTGTGCCATTGAAAAGAAAGAGGGGGCACGTCCCCCGGGTCGATAGAGTGACAGAAACCGTGACGATCAATTTTCCCGCATTAGGAATGCAGCGGTGGGCACTTGGATTCATCTTCCTGGTTTCAGGAACGGTGTCCCCCGTGCTTGCGAAAGGAGCAAGAGGGGGAGGCGTCAGGACCGCAGGTATGGACATAAAGTTGAATGAAGGTTGCGAACTGGAAGAATTTTCCAATTTGCGGAGAGAGAACACGAACCGTGTTCGGAGATCCGAGTCGATCACACTAATATGATTAGCTCGAGCTCCGTGTCTGCGACGCTGTCACCACGTGATGCGTGAAACGATGGAGGTATGCGGGTCGCCAAGCGAGATTTGTTTGAAAAAAAAACAATGAGGATCCGATTGCGCTCGACAGATGTCTCCCCATCTGCCTCCGGACCAGGATGATCGCATTCCGCTTCTCCACTCGAGACGATCTGGCGACCGGGGCAAAAATCATTCGAGAAAATCGCTGCGATCAATCATTCTAGGCCGGATTTCGATTAATTCCAATTGATCGCCTTCTTTCTCTTGTGGAATGATATAACTCATTGCTCGGTGAGCTATGCAGATTCCATCAGAGTCTGGTTCCGACTCGAAAATACAAGGTTTCAAATATTCGGAACAGAGACCGCTCCGGAAATCTACGTAGGTCCAGAATAAGGACTTATATACCCTTGGGGAAGGCAAACGAACGACGTCGGCAGAGAACGCCGAGCTGAGGAAGCGCGGTCTCTGGAGAATCTGTGAGTAGACGGATGGCAGTTGCAGAGACATCCGTTCCTCGAAGACTTAGGGCGCCACGCCTCGACGCAGTGACGAAAGCAACGACTCGTCTTCATGTATCGATTTGTCTTCCAGGTTATAGGTCGTCGTACACTCGCCCGAAGCCGAACTCCCACACGGGCCTGAATTCGCATGCCGGATTTCAAGCCCCTCACCCGAATCCTGTGGGAGCTCCGATGCAGCATCCCCAGCAGACCCATTCCGGGGGAGTACCTCCGCCGAACGTATTCCACGGGTACCCCACGCAGAACAATGTGCCGCGAAAGAATTCCGGTAGCGCTCTCCCGGCTGGTCTGGGCTTTGTCGCGGGAGGTATCGTCGGCAATCAGCTGGCCCGCAATTCGATGAATGACGGCGGCAACGGTCATCGCTACCACGGCAGACCCGGGAGTGAAGAGCAGCACTCCCCACAAAGCGACACCCGAACGGAATTCGAGGACTCGGACAGCACGCAGATTGACTCCGCTGACAAATATTCCAAGAACTTCCCTAATTCTACAGACGAGCCCTGTGAGTTCAAGGTCTGGGATGCGGTTAGCGACGCGTGTACAACGAATTCGACGGTACATGTGGC